CCAAGCCCTTTTCACACGGAGCAGCTCTTAATTACCATCCTGCCTGTAGGGGATCAGTCTCTCTTTTCTCTCTCTCTCTCCCTCTCTCTCCAAATGTAAAATGCAAAACTTGACTTGCCTATTGCTTTTTCAGATGAATGTAGAAAGTCACATTAGATAAAACGTTTGTGCAGCTTGGGTTTACATAAGGACCTCTAGGAATCAATAAGACTGAATTCTTGTCTCCCTCACCAATGTGTTCCTCCCCCAGATTACTCTGAGTCAGTAAATGTCACTGCCATTGGCCAAGTAGCTCTTGATGGAGACCTGGAAGTCACCCGTCAAGCTACCTTCTCTTTCGCCTCTCACAGCGAATCCCGTCGCCAACTGCTATTGGTTCCACCCATACGGTGTCCCAAATTGCTTCAGTTCTCTCCATTCCCACTGGCCCCGTTCTAGTATGAATTACTTTATTTCTCATCTACAGAATTAGTCTCCCAACCGAACTACCCACTTCTCTTCACACCTTTTCCATTCCATTCTCCTCTTAGCAGCCAGTGTGATGTTGTTAAGATACTATCAGATCACATCACTCCCTTGCTTAAAATACGTCAATAACTTCTTGTTCCACTTAAGATAAAGACCGTCACCTTGAAGGTGGCATCTGGATCTGCCCCTACTAACCAACCTCATGCTATGTTGTGTACCTTTGGTTGCAAGCAACAGACACTGACTCTAGTTAGTTTCAGGATAAAGATCCTGGAGGCTATGGAGTGTCAAGGAAAGACTGAGCAACCGAGACCCAGGTGCCTGAAGAAACCAGGTCCCCCTCCAGGAACCGAGCAGCAGCTGGTGGGCCTGCCCTCTGGAGCACTGACTTTTAATGTGATTAGTCTTGTCTCTGTGCTTCTCTCTTCAGTGTTTCAGATTACCAGGAGAAAGAATCTGATTGGCTTGGCTTCTGTCAGATTTTTACCCCTGGATCTATCTATTACCTACCCTAGGATCTATCTCCACAAAGGCGATCTGTCTTGTTGATTAGCTTATAACCTGTGCCTGGCACGGAGTAAGTGCTCATTAAATACTGAGCTAATGACCACTTAATTGAATAAGTGAATTGGCAATGGCCAGAAAACAGGGTCAATTAATACGGACATGGCCAAAGGGGGCTCACTCTAGGGTTTGGGGTTCTTGTGCATGGTTGTGAGAGAGGCACCCACCTCAGGAGATAACCTGTGCTCCTCAGCCTCACCTTGTTCTACTTCCCTCCAACACCAGCAGCAGCCTTAGGCCTTCTTTCACTCCTGCAAACAGCCAGGCTCTCCCCAAACTCAGAGTCTTCGCATATGCTGTTCACGGAGCCTCATACCTTCTTCTCCACTGTGCTGGTTATAGATTTATTGCCTCTCAGATCCCAATTTCTCTTTTTTGCTTGTTTTGTGAAAATATATCTATCTGGGCCCTTTAAATGTATTTTTCCTTTGTCAGCAGACACAGTGTTAAATTTTGTCAGCAGAGGGAACTAGAGGGACACTACAGGAGGCGAAAGGTCTTCCCGGTTCTGGTTTCCTTCCCTGGCAGGCTCCTGCGGCACCGGCAGCTTCTCTGGCGTCAGGCTCCTGCCACACATGCAGCTTCCCTGGAGCCCCCTGGGCAGCTTTGTAGCACAGTGCCTCCTCCCGGTGAGCAGCTTTTCCCAGCACTCTGAAAATACAGATTTGTAGCAAGTCCCAGAGGGTGGCGTTCCAGCAAATTCCACTGGTGTAAGCTACAGTGACTTCCCTGCCATCCAACCACTGATAGCCACGAGCCCTCCTCGCACCAGGTCTGGATCTCCATCCCAGGGATATTCCTTACCTCTGCTCTTCCTCTGTTCCTACTTCTTTTCCTTTTATTTATTTTTATAAATACGTCTTTATTGATTTCAGAGAGAGGGAGAGGGAGAGAGAGAGAGAAACATCAACGATGAGAGAGCCACTGATCAGCTGCCTCCTGCAAGCCCCCTGCTAGGGATTGATCCCACAACTGGGCATGTGCCCTGACGGGAAATCGAAGCACCATCTCCTGGATCCTAGGTCGATGCTCAATTGCTGAGCATCAGGTTCTTTTTTTTTTTTTTAATGAGGATATTTTTTCCATTGATTTTTAGAGAGAGTGGAAGAAAGGGAGAGAGGGAAGGAGGGAGAGATCGATTTGCTGCTCCCCACACACCCCAACTGGGGCTGGGGGGTCAAACCTGCATCCCAGGTACATGCCCTTGACCAGAAATGGAACCCACAACCTTTCAGTGAGCGGGCCAATGCTCTAACCACCGAGCAACACCAACCTGGGCTGTTCTTACTTCTTACTAGCCAATCCGTTGTGACTGTAATCCCCCTTTATAGTTAATAATTCTTTATATTAGATTTTCCTGTTCCAGTTACCTTGTGGTTTCTTTCTCCAGATTGGACCCCCAGACTGATACACACCCCCACTCTTCACCTGGCTAATTTTATTCATCCTTTAGGTGTTAATATCATTTCCTCATAGAAGCCTCCTCTGATATCTCAAGTCAAACCATATCCCTTTCTTTTTTATTCATAGCATCTTCCACAACTTTAAAATTATGCATTCATTTGTGTGATATTATGCCTTTGTCTCCCCACTAGATAATAAGCCCTAGCAGCATAGTGATCATGTTTATTTACTACCATAGTGCCTGACCCAACAATGGGTCATTAAATGAAAAGGGGAGTAAATCTTTAATGAGGCCCTATTATGTGCAAGTCGCTGGTGGCACTTAAAAAAATAGAACTCAATACCTATTCACAGGATGTTGGCAAATTTATGAGAAAATAAGACGCCCACAAAAATATAAAGTAGTAAAGGGAAGTTTCCAAAAGAATGAAATAGTTGTAAGTACTACTAATTCAGAGGTAATAATTTTATTTTAAAAATNGTCGCTGGTGGCACTTAAAAAAATAGAACTCAATACCTATTCACAGGATGTTGGCAAATTTATGAGAAAATAAGACGCCCACAAAAATATAAAGTAGTAAAGGGAAGTTTCCAAAAGAATGAAATAGTTGTACTACTAATTCAGAGGTAATAATTTTATTTTAAAAATGATTTTGTTTTTTATAAAGATTCTTAGAAATTAATTTCTTCTTAGATAATTGGATTTTATCCATTATATATAAGTGGGGAGGAAAGTGTAACAAAGGAGATCAGTTACTTATTTTAGAAGATTTTTTTGGTAGGTTCAGTTATTAATTTCTCTCAGACTTTTTTTTTAATATATACAATTTTATTTCAATAAGAGCTGATTCAAAATGCAAACAGGTACGGTAGTCTTCAGAAATGAAACTTGAGGGAGAACATGGTTAGTGGAGCAGAAAGCCTCAGCAATGTTTTGTGAACAAATAAAGGAAACTCAGAAGGAGCGCCTAAGGGTTCTCTCAGAAGTTCTAAAAATATAGCAAACTATTTTATTTTTTCCTATTCATGTAGGTTTCCTAAAGTAAAAATAAGTAACTGTAAAATTGGAGAAAACGACTCATATTTCCCCTTTTCTAGGACAGGGTTCTCTGGCTTTAAGCACTTTCTTTAGCATGCACTGGTGAGGGCTGGCTGTCATCAGTCTATATCCATGCTGAGACACTGCTCTAAAAGGTGGGTGGTAATTTGTCATGATCTTGGACAAATCACAGAATCAGGTATTTTGGGATTTGGAGCGGTTAATAGTTGCATTCTGTCCAGTTTCCTCATCTGGAAATGAGGGGCTCTGCTACATGCTCTCAGATCCCGCCCAACGCTCCCTGAGGATGTGCTCACACTTGAGCCATCAGCTGAGCAATGGTTCCTAGTCTCAAGTATGTTTCCTGCTGAAAGTCCATGGTTGTGTAATGAATCAGTGGAATTGTAAGTTTTATTTAAAGTACACAGTGAGGCCTAGCCGCTTTGCTCAGTGGTTAGAGTGTCCACCTGAGGACTGAGGGGTCTCGGGTTCAATTCCGGCCTCTGATGCATGTGGGAGGCAACCAATTGCAGTGTCTCTCTCACATCGATGTTTCTCTCTCTTCCTTCCACTCTCTCGGAAAAGCAATGGAAAAAATATCCTCCGGTGAGGATTTAAAAAATAAAAATAAAAAATATACACACACACACACACACACACACACACACACACACACACACATATGGTGAGGTTTGGCATTTGCTTGTTAGTCTTGGCTCTTTAGCCCACATTGATTACAGAATGCAACTTCCCTGGCCTTCAGCTTTCTGATTAGAGTGATATATTGTACTTTACACACAGTGGGCGCTTTAAGGGAGGGTCTCTAGATGCACAATACAAATTTTTGCAAATGCAAAATCTTGGTACTACTGGGCGCAAGAGGGTTAAAGTCCGTCACATGTGAGCTAGCCAATGCAGATCAGAAATCAAACAAACTCAGCTGCTAAAATTTCTGGGAACTTCCACTGCTGCCTGGAGCTCCCCACCCAGGTACCTCGCGGAGACCTGGACGGGCTCCAAGGGGCCGTCGGGCTCTTCATTTCCGACCAGGAGGTTATAATCACGCACCCTCCTCGCTGCAAGGCCCAAGCCGGCAGCCCCGCTTCCAGGCTCCCCGGTGGGCTCTGAGCGCAGCTGCGGCGCGGGGGAGACGGGCGTCTGCGGGGCGCAGCGCATCGCCCGCCCACCTGCCAGCAGCCGCCACCCCGTCCCAGTCCCCACCCCCCGGAGGAGGGCTGGCTTCCCATTGGTCAGCGTGGGGCATGGACGGCTCCGATTGGCTTAAAGGAGGGGCGGGAGAGGGAGGCGTGTCCAGAGGGCACACCCGCCCCTAAGGTCTTGCTGCTCAGGATTATGGGAGAATTCCGAGGAAAAGGAAATCTTCCGGAACGAACTTTACCCTTCCGCATCCGCACTCCACCGGAGCCCGGACCCCCCGGCACCAACCCGCGGAGCTCCGCCCACGCCGCGCCCGCGCCGAGGGATCAGGTGACCCTGGGGCTGCGCGGTCACGTGTTGGGCGCGCCCACCGGTAGTGGCCATGGCGGCCGCAGGCTCCAGTGTGGTGAGGCGAGTGGAGGAGCTCGGGGACCTCGCTCAGGCCCACATACAGCAGCTCAGCGAGGCGGCCGGCGAGGACGGTGAGGGAGCGGCGGAGAGGGGGGCGGGCGGCGGCGCGCGGAGCGGGCCCTGCAGCCGTGGGAGCTGG